TGAGAGCTACAACAGAGTCCCAGGCCAAGGATGTCATCACAACAACTTCAAATGCAAGAAATGAACAAATAAAAAACTTAGCTCTGAACCACTTCTGTCCTCCTCCTCCTCCTCCCCCCGCCCCCTCCCCCCGGGGTCGCCAGCCTTTATGAAAATGGAATTCTGCCGCTCTCGCTCACGGGTTTGCTAAACCCGTTGAAACGCAGCTTTCCACGCATCTTTCCAGATCCGGTTGCTTAGAAATGTCCCATCCGCCCCTCCACCCAGTTCGGTCTTTCTGACACTCATTCTTCAGCCGGGGTGTCCCTGTGTGCCCCGCTGGTCTAGAACCCTCATCCTCCTGCTGTCTTGGCTGTGCTGAGTACAGCCCTCGTGTGTAAATGGATCTGTTGTATATATAATATTTTTGGTCGGTCGTGGGTCTTGAACTCTGGGCCCAGGCGCCGTCCTTCAGCTCTTCCGCTCAAGGCGAGCGCTCTACCGCTTGAGCCACAGCGCCACGTCCTGCTTTTTCTGTGTATGTGGTGCTGTGGAATCGAACCCAGGGCCTCATGCATGCTAGGCAAGCACCCTACCGCTGAGCCACTTTCCCAGCCCTATTTTATTTATGTAGTTGTAAAGGAAAAAGGCAGTGAGAATTCAGGATCCTTCTGTCTGTCTGGGGCTGAGGCTGGGTGCTGGGTTTGGGGTTCTCTCCCATGGGTGTTCGATCATAAGTACCTGTCTCCAGTGGGTGGGAGGAGCACCTGAGAGCGGGTGCTGGTATCTGAGTTGCTCCAGCAGCTACTAAGTGAGCAGTACTTGGAACCCCGAGGTGGGACTGCACCTTGCCCTGGTGGTTGTTATGAAGGGGTTTGCGCTCCCCACTTTGTCCTTGATTTTGCCCTTGGAACTCAAGAGGCACCTGGCTGGTGCACAGTGAGCTCTTGGGAATGGGGACCGGGTTCAAATCCCAGTGCTTGCAGTGTGACCTTGGCCAAGTCCCTTCACCTCTCTTTTCCAAAATGACAGAGTTAATGTGTCTTCGGCGGTTGGACCGGGGCTGCCAGGCCCTTAAGCCCGACGGGGCGGGGCTGCGGCCTTCCTTCCTGTCTGGCCGGATTCTGCCACCTGCGGCGTTCTGAGGGGCCAGGGCTGCTCTGAAGGGGCTCTGGGGCGCCAGGGCTTGGCCTGTGTGTCTCTGATGAAGTGATGCTGTACACATTGGATGTACACGAGGGAAGCGGCCCCGGGAGCCGGGCTGGGGGGCTGTTGAGTCTCCCCACTAGCAAGCTGCGAGTGCGGGTTCTCGGGACTGGCTGCCGGCCTTCCTGCCACCTGGCAGTGGTGAGATCCAGACACTTCCTCTTCCCAGGTGCGGCCTCTGACCTCTGAACCCCCCCCACACCCCCCCCACACGGGGGGGGGGTCTCACTACCCACCTCCCCTCACCATGACCCCCGGGGGAGGCCTGACTTCTATCCCACACCTGGGGTCCCAGGGCAGGGTGGAGGGAGGAAGGGCAGAGGGCAGGGCAGGGTGGAGGGAGGAAGGGAAGGGCAGAGGGCAGGGCCTGGCTCTTTCTCTGCCTGCTGCACTTGCATTGTAGCCTTGGTTCCCAGAGCCTGGCAGAGAGCGGACCCTGGACCGGTGCCGGCCGGCCGGTGGGTATGAAGTCAGGGTCTCGCGTGAGGGGTCACTTTGGACCCACTTTCCAGGTGAGGGAAGGGATCTAGATTTTGGGCAGTGAGGTGAGAGGCCGCAGGAGGCGGCAGCTGCTATGCTGGTTCTGGTGTTAGAATGGGGTCTCTCTATAGAGCTATTTTGTAACCTTGAAGTTGTTACAGAGTAACACCTGGGAGGGGGTGGAGCTGTTAAGGGAATTTGGAGAGATGGGGGGGGGGATAAGGATGCACCGCACACCAGGCTTAGGAGCGCTGTCCTTGCAGCCTTGTTGTAAGGTCTCAGGTACCTGAGCGCAGCTGTGCGGTTCACTTTCTTTTCCACAGCTGGGAATGGAGGCTCATCTCAGGATCCTCTGGGTCCCTCACGGTCTGGGGCGCACGCAGTGTCTCTGTCTGTTTGGGGCCAGAATAAGGGAGCGGTGTGGAGGCGCGCTCGGGCTGCCGCTGCAGGGCTTGGAGCAGGGTAACATTTTTTCCTGGTCTTAGGGCTCCAACTCTGGGCTTGGGCGCTGTCCCTGAGCTCCTTTTTTTGCTCAAGGCTAGCATTCTACCACTTGAGCCACAGCACCACTTCTGACTTTTTCTGTGATTAATTGGACATAAAGAGTCTCAGGGACTTTCCTGCCCAGGCTGGGATGGGATTACAGGCGTGAGCCTCAGGTGCTCGGCTAGATGACATGGTTTGATTCTTGTCCTGAAGTCTTTCTGTCTGCTGGGTTGAGCATGGCCCCCAAGGGTCAGGGCTGATGGGGCACCCCAGGGCAGGTAATCAGAAGACGGGGAGGGCTGGGACCCCAGGGGAGCCGGCAGAGGAGAGGGTTCCATTCTGGGTTTGCTGCCAGAGTTTGCTTGTGGGTGTGAGAATGCTCAGACAAGGATTTCTCCAGAACTTGGGCCTAAGTGCCTCTCTGATAAGCACCTGCCACCCACGCCCACGCACACGGGCGCTCGGCTGTGGCTTCGCCTTCCAGAACGTTCCAGCTGCCTGCTTAGAAGGGATGGATGGATGGACGGAGGCCTGGCAGGCAGCTCCCCTGGGATTTGACGTTTCCTGCCATTTTGGTTTGCTTTCCAGTCTCTCAGGACTTTACAGACATGTTGGGACGGCTTTTCTTTTTGTCTGTTCCTGGTTTGGGCGTGGGGCGGTGTTAGACGCCGCAGGAGGAGAGCGCGGGGTGCTGGAGCCCATCGGGGCTGCTTTGCTGATCCCACGCTGGACCTCTGGACCCGAGGGCTGCGTGATTTGGTTATTCAAAGCTGCTCTGCGGGTGGGTCGGGAGGTCAGGCGCCTCCCACAGCTGGATTTCCATTTAGGCCCCGCCACCTGCATGGATTCTCCCACTGGCCAGCGACTTCCTCTTACTAGAACCTTCTCTTCCTCACAGCCATGACCTGTTAGCTAACTCGCCCCACCTGAGCTGATTGAACTCTTCATCCCGCCCCACCAGAGTGCTTGCTTCTGCTGCTCCTGCCCGGCGTGACCGACCATGACCACCGTGGGCAACGTGGACGCCCTTCCCGAGCATGAGAAGAGTCAGCTCAAGAGGGCTCTGGAGCTGGGCACTGTCATGACCGTGTTTAGTTTCCGCAAGTGCACCCCCGAGCGCAGGACCGTGCAGGTGATCATGGAGACGCGGCAAGTGGCGTGGAGTAAGACGGCGGACAAGATGGAAGGCTTCTGTGAGTACTGGTTGGGCCGGGCCGCTGCCCGTCGGGCCCCTCCCCTGCTCCCCGCCTCCCTCCCCTCCTGCCTTTGGTGGTTGGTGCTCCGGTGAGTGAGTTTCTACCTTGTCAGCGCACAGAGCTTGCTCTATGGAGAAAGTGCATCCAGGAAAAGTTCTGTGCCGTGACAGACGTGTGGAACTGGCCAGTTTGGAAACTGGCATTCCGACACCGTGCGGCCCCTGGCGGCTGGGCAGGGTGTCCATCCCCACGGGAGCTCGGTGGCCTCGGCCCGTGGAAACGCCCAGCTTTGTAGCCAAATGCCGGCTGGGGTTTCCTGCGGACCCCAGCAGGGAGAGGCCTTTCTTGGCTCTGTCCAAGAGAGCAAACACAAGGCTGAAGGTTCTAGAACTTTCCAGCACCACTCTGGTTCTGGTGGAGGAGCTGCCTCTCCTCTCCCTCACCTCCTTCCCGATTTGTTAGCACATCCAGCTCTGTGTGCAGGGGCCGCGCTTGACTTTTGATTTGTTTTTAATCGAAAATTTAAAACACATTCCTTGAATCCCAGCACTCAGGCAGAATCTCTAGTTTGAGGCCAACCGAGGCTGTCTTGAGTAACAAAGCAACACAAGACAACGGGCCAGAGAGCGGGGGTTGAGGCCGCTCATCGGTGTGTCTCGCCAGGTCCTTCACCCCCCCCCCCAGGCTCGCTTGGTACCAATTTCTTTTGTCTTCCAGAAACACTTTATGCTTGTGTAATATGTGTGTGTACGTTTTACACAAATGGGAACTCCTATACAACCCTCTGTACCTTTTTCCCCTCCACTTCATAATTACCTGGGGGTGCTGACTTATCCCCATTCTTTCCTGGCCTGGACACGTTCTGGGCGTGGCTGCCGGGTGACAGCTCAATGCAGGACGTTTACTGTGAGTGTCGTAATCATCCTTTGCATTTTTGGTGGTTCATTGGACAGTAGAGTCTCATGGACTTTCCTGCCTGGATTGGCTTTGAACCACGATCCTCAGATCTCATCCTCCTGAGTAGCTGGGATGACAGGCGTGAGCCACCGGCGCCCAGTTTCCATATCTTTTCTTTAACTTGGCATCATGAAGAGGGGTCAGCGTTACCTGAGGCAGGTAGCGAGTACATTTGTCTTTGGACAGTGTCACCCTCCATACAGTTTTAAAGGCATCAGTTACCCAGCCTGGGGATCAGCCCGGCGTCTTATTGGTTTTGGATATTGTGTAGTCTCCTATTTTCCTGTGTCAGCCATCCGTTCTGGGAACACTTTCAGAGCCAACTTGAGGCCCTCTCTTGGTATTTTCCATAGCACGGATCTCCGCAGGAGGACCAGAAGGCCACGCACAGGGCCGGGGCCCAGTGTGGTCAGTGTGTTCGTCCATCCGCCCCACCTCCACGCCTGCCAGGGTCTGGGCAGAGCTTGCAAATGGGGCAGCGAAAGCCCCGTCCCGCGGGCGTGGCCGTGCTTCCTTCCCTCCTGACGGTGTTTGCTCTGGCTGGGCTGGGAAAACCTCAGCAGCCATCAGGCTTCTCTTGGCCACAGGATCAAGAGTCTGTCCCTGACGGCACCGCTGCGTGGGTGTGTGGGGAGCCCGGATGAAGGCTGCTGTTCTCCTCCCTCGGCCCGCCTCCCCCCGTGGAGTGACCAGCCAGGCCTGGCGGCTGGCGCTCGGGGCTGGCCGTGCTGACTCTTGCTGGCGTCTCTTTTCCTTCCCATGTTTGAGCCGGGCATGGGGGGCTCCCGCCTGTCATCCTGGCCACTCAGGAGGCTGAGATCTGAGGATCTAGGTTCAAAGCAACCTCGGGCAGGAAAGTCTGTGAGACCTGTATCTCCAAACCAGCAAAAACCAGAAGTGGAGATGTGGCTCAAGTGGTAGAGCAGAGCCTAGAACAAAGATGCTCAGGAATAGCATCCAGGCAGGGGGCTCAAGATGCAGTGCTGGCAGGTGGGTGCCCATGCGTGTGCGTACACATGCATACACACATGAGCACGTGTGCGTACGCGCACCCACACACACGTGAATAAGGCTTCAGTGACTTCCAAATTGAAGTGGGTTCCAAAAATACCTAGCTGTGCAGAGTCCCCAGCAGAATTTTCTCTGGATTGAAAGGACTTGAACTTATTTCCATTCCCTTCCTTTTAGCTTCTGGAAGCTTCCCTCAGTAGGTGTTTCATTGACAGGTGTTGTTGTATAGCTAACCAACACTTCTAATTATCCTTATCAAGAGGAGAGCTACCATTTTTATTTATTTTTTATCATTTTCACTTTATCAAACAATAGTTCTATTGAAGCCTGCCATAGAATTCATCCATTATGATGTATAACCTAGTTTGTTTGCTTTTTAGTGTGTTTATGGATCGGTGCCAGTGCAATCAGTTAATATTAAAACGGTTTCAAATCCCACACACTTAGCAGTTGCCTCCTCTGCCTCAGTTCCTGGCAATAGTAAATTTGCCCTGCGTATTTGCTGATCCTGGACATTTCACATGAAGCAATCATAATTGTGGCCTTCGCTTCTGACTTCTGATTTAGCATGTTTTGGACTTAATCTTCATTGCAGCACGTGTCAGGGCTTTCTTCCTTTCTATTGCTGTGTAATATTCCATTGCCTGGACAGGTGACTTCTGCCTTGGTGGTCATACATTGCTTCCTCATCTTGGATCAGAGATCCTATTTGCTAAGAGCCATTTTCAGGCATAAAAAGGACCGCTTTCAGCCAGAAGGGCCATGGTTAGCTTCGTAGCCGGCTGAGTCTGGCCGGGACAATGTTACAGAATGCCATCTGAAAGCCAAACCAAAAGCCAAACTTCCGTGGTTCAGATGGCAGAGCACTTGCTGAGCAAACTCCAGGGCCTGTGTTCAATCTCCAGTACTGTGCTAAATGTTTTTTGTGTGTGTGTTGGTCATGGGGCATGAGCTTAGGGCCTAGGCGATGTCCCCAAGCTTTTTCACTCAAGGCTAGAGCTTTACTACTTTCTTCCAGTTTTCTGGCAGTTAATTGGAGATAAGAGTTTAATGGTCTTTCCTGCCAGGGCTGGTTTTGAACCATGATCCTTAGATCTCAGCTTCCTGAGATCTACAGCTGGTGTGGTGGCCTGAGCCTATCTAGATCCTAGTTATGTTGGAGGCATACAGGAGGCTCTCAGTCCGGCCTAGTGCATACCCTGTCCCCGAACCCTTTTCTCTCAGGCCTGGAAAGCCGCGATCCCTATGGATCTGCCTCTTTTGAGCATCTCATATTCGTGGCAACACTTAGTGTGAGACCTTTGGTGTGTGCTTTCTTTTGTTTACAGTAGTGTTTTTGAGGTTTTCCATGCTGTGTGGAGTACGCCAGTGCTGCTTTTATATGTCTGAGTAGGATTCCGTTCCATGAATAGACCACCCATTGAATCCAGGTGTTGGTGGCTCATGCCTGTAATCCTAGCTACTCAGAAAGCTGAGATCTGAGGATCGAAGTTTGAAGTCAGCCTGGGCAGGAAAAGGCCATCAGGCTCTTTTATCTCTAACAATGCCCCCAAAACCAGATGTGGAGCTATGACTCAAAGTGGTAGAGCACTAGCCTTGAGCATTAAATCTCAGGGACAGCGCCTAGCCCCAGCCCCAGCCCCAGGACTACCACACACACACACACACACACACACACACACACACACACGCACGCGCACACACACACATCCTCCATTCCTCCATTGCTTCATGGACATGGGATTCCTTCCGTCTTTTGGGTGTTAGCACACTGCGTCCCTGTGGATATCCATGCACGGCTTTGGCTTCGGCGAGGGCTTTCGGTTATTTAGGACATATACCTCAGTGTGGGGTTGCTCTGGTTGGTCTGTTGGGGGCGTTACCGGCTCCCTTGGGTGGGGCCACGCCATTTTGTGTTTTCCTTCTGGCTGTTTTGGAGGTGAGCCTCACTGTGCCCCAAGGGGGTTGAATCTGTGATGTCTGCCAGTGAGAATGGCCAGGAGAGTCCTGAGGGGCTGGGGGCCGCCTGGGGCCCCAAACCACCAGATCAGGGTTGGAGTTCCAGCTCTGTCTCGTGCCGTGTGCAGCCTTGAACCGACATCGGGGCCTTCCCACTGCAGAACAAGGAGAGACGGGGCTCCAGGCAGGCGCCGGGGGCCGTGAATGTAGCCGCAAGGAGGCGGAGGTGGTTTCTGCTTCTCTGGGGGACCCTGGGACGTTTTGTCCTGATGGGCACCCAGGGATGGGCAGCTGACACCTCTAACGTGGCCTTTCTACTCCCTGTGGCCCTGTGGCCCCTGCTAGGCCTCACCTGCGGCCCTGGGCATGCGCGTCATCACTTCCAAGAGCAGCCTGGCCTTGGCTCTGTCCCGCTGTCCGCGTGGCTTCCGTGGGCATTCGTGCACATCTACATGTAAACGAATGAATAAGAGAGAGAGGAGAAGCCCTCAAGGTTTCTGAAGTCTGGGCCTGGGAGCTTTCATGATACCACTTTTTGTGTGCCAATACTGGGCCTTGAACTCAGGGCCTGGGTACCGTCCCTGAGCTCTTTTGCTTAAGGCTCATGCTCTACCACTTTGGGTCACAGTACCACTTCCGACTTTCTGGTGGTTCATTGGAGATAAGAGTCGCACGGACTTTCCTTCCTGTGGCTGTCTTGGAACTGTGATCCTCAGATCTCAGCCTCCTGAGTAGCGAGGATGACAGGCGTGAGCCACCAGCGCCCGGCTATCACTCTATCTCAGGTTATTATTGGTCAAAGTGGGTTTCCAGGGCAGGGAGAAGAAACAGACCTATGTGCTCAGTGGGAAGAGTGTGGGAGGTGTGTCTCATTGTTCTAGAAGCTTCCTCACCCTCTGTCATCCTGAGGGACACTGTCCACCCTTTCGTGCAGGTTCCACTGTGTCAGCTGTGTCCTATGTCCCTAAAGCCTTGGTTGATTAAAGTTCTCCCAGGCACCGTGGCTCACACCTGCCATCCTAGCTACTCAGGAGTCTGAAATCTGAGGATGGCGATTTGAAGCCAGCCCA